AGATTTGGAGTTTGAATGCTGTCATTTAAATCCTTCACCTAAAGAACAAGAGACCAGAAGCAAGTCTTCAGATGTCACCAAATAATCTAACCTCAGACTCCTGTTTGCTCACACTGAGCTCTGACTATGAAATCAAAACCCACTGTCTTTGAGCCGAATGTTTTAATGTGACAGTCCCTGGCACATTCCTTGGTCACTCAGACCAGGCCACCTCTTCTTTCCCAGGCCTGGCCCACTCCCGACTACCTTCTTGTAGAGTCATTCCTAAACCTAAGCTACCGTTGGCTGGTTACCCCTGTGACAGCTGTGTCTCCATTGCACTAAGGAGCATGCCTTGCCTGGCAGATTGATGCTCTAGGTCATAACAGGCTTAAACCATCAATACCTTTATCCCACAGAAGCTTGCATATTATCTGGCACCAGGAGAGTCAGCCCGCAGGGAGGAATCTTCCCACCTACTTCCAGCTTGATTTACCTGCATCTTTCATGTGAAGTGTGTGGTGACCACAGCAGTAGGGTCTTGCCAACTAGTTCCGGTGTAACCAGTAGGACCAACAAGACCCTGTTTTGTCTGAGGGACTCTGTGGCCTCCCAGACCAGTGACTCCCACAGGTGGCACTGTGGCTTTCATTTAGTAATCCAATGCTGTTGTAGAGAGGCCATTTGTTTGTTTACTGGCTTCTCAGTCCTGAAATAACCACACCGAAACTGTATTAATTAAATCACTGCTTGGCCCATTAGCTCTAACTTCTTATTGACTAACTCTTGCATCTTAATTTAACCCATTTCTAGTAATCTGTGTATCACCATGAGGCTGTGGTTCACCGGGTGAAGTTTCAGCATCTGTCTCTGACAGGGCTACATGGCTTCTCTCTAACTCTGTACTTCTTTCTCCCAGCATCCAGTTTAGTTTTCCCAGCCTAGCTCTGTTCTACCCTATGAGGCCAAGCCAGTTTCTTTATTGAACAAAGGTATTCACAGCATACAGACAAGAATCCCACATCACAATGCTTCTAAGATTGCCATTGCCTAATCGTACAAGGGTATCTGCCTTCAGACTTTCTCTAATGTTTTTAATTGGTGACCTCCCAGGCAGTAGGTTACTGAGTGGTTTTCTTATACCAGCTTCACTTTGTTCAGCACCAGCCCTGTTCCCTCATCTCTCTGTCATCCCAGTTTTATTACATGTGCTGCTCAAGGAGCACCCGACATAAAACTGAGCATCTCTGGACAGTTTCCCATTTTTGTTACTGTACATATCAGTGGCAGAACTTCCGCTTGACTGTGTTTTGTCTTTCCTACTGCTCTGCTGTTTGGTAAGACAGAGCTGCCAAACTTCCCTGGTGGCTTCCTTCTTTAATTTTTTAAACATATTTGCAGTGGCAACTTAGACGGTCTCAGGTACTCAGTCCACATTCTAACAGGGTTGCTATCGCATGCTTTTCCTCCTGACACATAGATAGGAGAGAGTCCTCTTGGTTTGGTTTTATTTTGTTTTTTGTTTAGATAGTTCATAATTTTTGTTGCAAACTAGATATTTTAAACAATTACAGCATCTCTGAATTATTGTCCCCCTAATCAGTTTCAAAACTAGTCTGTTCATTTATTTACTCAGCTGTGTGTATGTATTTCTGTGCATGTATGTGGTATATGTATATAGTGTTTACACGTGTGTGTTTGTGTATTTCATATACAATCTCATGTATTACAGGCTAGCCTCATACATGGTATGTAGCTGAAGGTGGCCTTTAGGTTCTGATTTTTCTGCTTCCATTACTCAAGTCTTAGGTACAGGTATGTACCAGCATGTCTGGTTTCATGTAGAACTGGGGATGGAACTCTGTGCCTCGGGCATACCAGGCAAGCACTACACCAACTCAGCTACATCCCTACACTGTGCACTTGTTTCGTGGCCTATTTGTTAAGTGATTTGCTGGTCACAGTGAGGACAGACTATTTCCTCCCCTGTGTAGCCCCCAATGTGCACACCTCTTACAGTGCAGCCTGGGCACGCCTACTTTCTCCCTTAATGCCTGCTCCTCAGATGACTGTGCTTTGCTAAGGTCCCCTTGGCTCTTACCTAATCACCATGTGCCTGGTTCTGCCTCTTTTATGCTCACAACCAGTTCTGAGTTGGGAGGGGATGGGGAGATAGGCACGGTCTGGCCACACCCACTCAGCACAGCTTCTAGCACATTGAGCTGGGCATTGGAGGAATCAGTGGGTCTCAGTTCAAATATCACAGACTCGCTGCTCATACTGAGACTTAGAATATTTTCATGAATAACTGTTTTCCCGTCTGCTGTGCCCCAGACACTCTACGTGGGTTTTCATCAGCTCTCCCAGGTGCAGCTGTCCCTGTACAGCAGCTCTGCAGGGCCTCCCACTGCCTTGCCAGTCCTTCCCGGTCACATGTGCTTCTCTCTTCCATTTAGAAACCTCTCTGCTTCACAATATAAACAACAGCCTCACAGTATAGACACATCGTGCTCATGTATTCACGTCACCTAGTATACAAGGACTGGGTTGCTCTGAATCCCTTTTACTGGTGAAGGATTCCTTCCCAGCATGGGCGAGCTCACATTTGCACACCCACCTGCTTCTCAGGATACTTGGTTTGCTGGACCTCGGGCTTTCATCATCTGAAGTGAAAAAGCTGTTACCATACTTTTTTTTCTGAGACAACAAAAGAATAACTTTGTGTCCCAGACTACGCTGCTTATGATATACATTAATAATTAGTAAATTAGATAACAGAATTCATTAGCTACAACCTTTCCAGATGTGCAGGTTAGTGTGTGTCACACTGGCACAAGTTAGAGTTGCCGGGAAGAGAGGATCTCACAGAGAGAATGTCTCCAAGAGATTGGCCTGTGGGCAAATCCATAGGGCTTTTTTGTGATCGATGACTGATGTGGGAGGGAGGTGGGAGCGCCCCGGGTCCACCCACTGTGGGCCATGCCATCCTCGGGCAGGCAGCACTGAGTTGTGTATCTAAGATGACAAGCTGAGCTAGACGTGCTCAGTAAGTCAGAAAACCATGCTTCTCCACGGCCTCTGCCTCAGTTCCTGCCTCAGTCCCTGGCCTGGAGCCCCTGCCCTGACCCGATGGACTGTAAGCTGTAAGATGACAGGAACTCTTTCCTCCCCAAGCTTCCTGTCACAGTGCTCATCACAGCGAGAGAAAGCAAACCAGACAGCAGATTCGTGTGGACATCTTCGGAGTGTTAGTTCACACTGTTGTCTCTCTGCTCCTGTGAACGATGGAGAGCATCGTTAATAGCCCTCAATAGTACATCTGTGTCCTGCCCTTTGTGAGAACAATAGTTTATATATTTCTAAGGTTTTTATTTTAAGGTGTTTTTCTTATGTGTATGTCTGTGAATCACTAACGTGCCCGGCACCCTAGAAGTCTAGAGAGAGCATCAGATTTCCAGGAACTGGAAGGAGATAGTTGTGAACAACCATGTGGGATCTGGGACTCAAACCTGGGTCCTCTGGAACTGCAGTCAGCGCTCTAAGTCGCTGAGCCATTGCTCCGGCTGCAAGAAGGATTATTTAAAAGAACCCAATGGTCTGGAGGCAGAGACAGGCAGATCTCTGTGAGTTTGAGGCCCGCCTGGTCTACGAGAGCTAGTTCCAAAGACAGACTTCAAAGCTACAGAGAAACCCTGTCTCGGTAAACCAAAAAGAAAAAAAAATCAATCGTTGCGACCATGTATTTGGTGCAGTTGCAAAGGTGGAGCGGTCCGCTGGACTCTTCCAGCAAACTGACTGGATTTCTTAAACTGTTATCTAAAAATTGTAAAACATTTGGGCTGCAAACCATAGATGTTTCCAGTTTATTACAAGAGAAACATTTCACAAACCTCCAGAAGCTTTATTTCCTGTTTGCTCTAGACAGCATTTTTCCTTATTTGAAATCATAAAGCTCACTAGCCGCCCCTATCAGGAACTGTGATGATCAGTATCTGCAGCACATCCGGGGAACATCTTCCCACACCCAGGCTAGTTACAGTAAACAGGTAACAGCAAGAGGCTCTCCCGAGGTGCCCCCAAACATGTGTGTCCTGGGTAAATACACAACACACTCAGCACCAATCACCGCTCACAGCGTCCCACCCTGCCTTGGAAAAATTACAATAAAACAACTTCTTCCAGCTACTGGATGAGCAGCCAAGCCTTTGCCACTGTCGCCTCTCAAGCCCGAGGGCGTCCCCTGGTGGACGGTCACCCGACATCGCGGAAGTCTGACCTTGCTGAAGGAGTTTATAGTGCCCTGTGCTGATGAGGACTGTAGAGTTCTGGGGAGACCTGCTTAGTGAAAATTGCAGAAGAAGATGTTCAGGCACCTAGGCCTCTAAAGATCTAGATAACCTGAGGGTTCGTGCAGCCGGTCGTTGCACCGGGCCGAGATGGGATCACCGATGGCTCTGCAAGTCCTCAAATTGAGCCGCCAAGGAGATCGAAACTAATAGCCAGGTCCCCCTTTTTCCACCCTAGGAGCTGAGGAGCCAGGCAGCGCGACTCAAGAGAGTCAGGGCACAGCCTGGGAACCGACGAGGGGCATGGGGCGGGGCGGTAGTCCGCGGTCCAAGTAGGAGTGCAAAGTTGTTGGGAAGAAGGGCAGTGGTGGAGCTTGGGGTGGCACTTGAACTTTAGGGTAGGGAGAGTGCTGGGGACTTCTGCTCCTGCCATGTGCAGCATTGGTGCATAGGAGTGCAGAGGTAGAGGAGTTGTCATGGGTGGACACAGGCAGAGTCTTGTTTAATGCGGGGATTTATAAGAACTTGGAGATTAGGGAAGGAACAATGGGTCACAGCACCTTCTCTTGAAACGGGCTGGGATTCCAAGCTGGGCAGTGAGTGACCCCGGGCTCCCCTGCCCCGGGGCAGCTGCTCCTAGAACCCTCCCGCACGCCTATGCGTGCGTGGGGGCCCTCCCTGCCTGTAGCAGAGTTGTCCACGCCTGTGTTGGATAAGGACGAGTCAGCCAAGATCCGGGTTGTTCCGGAGTAAGAAAGAGACTGCGTCTGGAATGTAGGAGAACCCGGGACTGTTCGCACCCCAGACCCCCAAAGCAAATCAGCAATGCCACCATCCACCACTCAGCATAAGCAGCCCTCTCTCCTCCAGTCTTCTAACCGAGGCCACTAAGGTAAGGGTCCCAGCCTGACTTTAGCCTTCCCCCAAAACCTCCCACCACTTCTGGTTCAGCTCCCCACCCCCACCTCTGCTGAGCAGCCTACTCTGCTGAGACCTCAGAGGGCTGGGCACAGTCCCGCAGAGAGGTTTAGACTGGCTTGCTTTGCCTATAAGACTGCTGTCTGACATGCGCTCTGAGACAAGAGTTAGCTCCTTGGAGTGCTGTGTCCTGTGACAGAATGGGGGTGAATCTGTTCTCTGTGTGTGGATTTTACCCAGGAGCCAGCAGGGAACTTTGGGGAAGCAGAGAGTCTGTGCTAAGCGCAAAGGTCCAAGAGGTTTGCTTTGGGGTCTTGGAAAGAAACCAAAGTCCCCAGAGCCCTGGTAGCCACTGTCATCTCAGGCTCAACATCGTCTCCCAGTCATGTTCGGTTACTTCTGAAGTTTGGAGTTTATTTGCAGGAAGGAACAGAACGATGCTGCTTTTAAAATCCCATTGTATAGACAAGCTCTTAGTTACAAACATTAGTGTGATCTCAGTTTATCAGAGAAACACCACTGTTCAAGTAATAGCGCTAGGTAGATTCCATAGTTAGGACTGTGCACGCAGGCTCAGTGCCCTCTCTTGATGTTTCTCAAAGAAGATAAACCTGTGTGTTTGCAGCAGGCTGTGAGGATGACTCTTCCCAACCTGCAGTATGAACTGTCAGCAGTGCTGCACCCTGTTACTCCAAAGAGGCACACTCATGCTGAAATCATGAGACAGGAGAGTTTACCAAGATGCGCAGTCAGGCTTGGGAGTTTCCTTTATACAACAATGGACCTCTAAATCAGTGGTTCTCAACCTGAAGGTTGAATGACCCTTTCATAGAGGTCACCTAAGAACACTGGAAAACACAGATTATTTACATTACAATTAATAACAGTAACAATATTACATTTATGAAGTAGCAATGAAAACAAATTAATGGTTGGGGGTCACCCCAACATGAGCTGTATTAAGGGGTCGCATCATTAGGAAAGTTGAGAACCATTGCTCTAAATGGTGTGTCTGGCTGAGAGACACGCCCTCCACAGGGGTAAGAACACCTGTGAACTTTGAAAATCCCACAGTTGACTGCAGGTATTTTGAACTCCCTGAACCTGCATTCCTGTTACTTTTAATGACTGTGCTGCAGAATAAGACACCAGACTCGATGGTTAGCAGATGCTACACACAAATTCTAACCTGTGTGGCACGCACTTATACACACAGAGGGGGTTCTGACCATTGTCATCTATGAGATCAACTCTCTCCTCAGGAAAAAAAAAGTGGTGATCCACTGAGAAAAGGCTCAGAACTCCGCAGCTGACTTTAGGAGAGAGAAGCAAACTCTTGTGTTTACCAAAAGCTTCGCCTCTGTGAAACTATCAGATTACCACTCAGAGAGCAAGAGGGTGGTAAACTAATTCTTTTTTGTTTAAAGAAGCATCTAGATAATTAGATTATAAAAATATTTAAAACCAACCAGTTCACACATGAATGCAGACTATACATACAAACACTTATACATTTGAATAAGCAGCATTTTGTTACCTTGGGGATTTCTCTAATTTACCAGAGCACCACTGAGATATCAACCATGTCAGGTTGTCCCACAGGGGTTGCTGTCCTGCACTATAGGTAAGGGAAATGGATAGGGTTTTAGTGAAATGGAAAAGGTAAATATAATTCTGTTGCTTTTTCTGGAATTGTATTGGTAGAATGTGACCTGCATAGACATAGTAATGTTGACACAGAGATCTAAGCAGTCTGATCTGATGGCGGATGCAAAAGCTGTGTCTTAAAATGCCCATTTTTATCCCAGTATTCAGAAGGCAGAGGCAGGTGGATCTCTGTGAGTTCAAGGCCATCCTGGTCAACAGAGAGAGGGAGTTCAAGGGCAGTCAGGACTATGATATCACTACCAAAACTTCTTATTTTGCTAGGGCTATTCACATGGAGAAAACTTGAAAGAGAGGTACCAGGACGGAGGCAGTAGCCCTCTAGGCACTGCAGTGTAGGGCAAGAATGTGGAAAATGAGATGACACCAGCCTGGATCCCAGAAGTATGATGACC